CAGCAATCTCCTGGTGAAATCGGACAAGATTTTTGGCTGACGCGTTCTTGCTCTACCACCGGCCGAGAGGCAGCGCGGGAAGCTTGTCTCCTGCACGAAGCCTGGACCGGCTGCGGCCCGCTACCCCGAGAGGACAACCGCCGGCACCGAGTTGCCTTCCAAGGTTAGCAGTGGCAACGGAGACGGGACTTGGGACATCCCAAGCCCCGTTTCAGCTGCCATCGATGCACGCGCTGCAGAGGGACGGGGGCAATGCTGCCAACTCCTGGCTAGAGCAAAGCGTACCAGGGAGAAACCCCAGAGCCTACTTGGAAAGGGCCCCATTTCACGCTCTGGCTATCAGACTCCTACTTGCCTTGTTGACTGGAGTTTTCATTGTAGAGGAGAAGTTTACCGGGGTTGGAGGGCAGAGAGGGCAGTCAGTAAGGTGGGGGTGGAGGGAAGGGGCTTTTCAGACATTAACATCACCAAAAATAGTGTTTTATGCAACAAAGAATCAAGTCTCACTGGTGTATACTACAAAATGTTCGACATTTTCCAAGAGCATGACAAAATAAAAACACAAAGAAGTTTACATTGGATGTTCATCTTGTTCACTAGGTTGGGGTTTTCCCACACCCCCCCCCCCCCTCCTATTTTAAAACAGTGCAAACAGGTAACACACTTTAAAAAAATCACCCCTCTGCACCAAGGACAGCATTCCCCGGCCCTGCCGGGCTGGAGGGTCACAGGCAGCAGGCCGCCTGCCACGCTGCCCGCGTGCTTTCCCTTTGGAGCTAGACTCAGCAAAAGCGCTCCCCGAAGCTGTTGTCTGGGTTTCCCTTTATTGAATTCCTAAGTGCTCCCCAAACCTGTTCTCCGTTTGCCTCCTTCTTCAGGGCTGGGATGGGAAGATGCAGACAGGGACAGGTTGGGGAAAAAAACGGGGGTAGGAACCGGGAGGCTCTGCTTTGCATTCCCTGCTGCCGAAGCTCTGGGTGCTGGAACTGAAAGCCCAGCAGCCAGCATCTCTTTTCGGGCAAGGAAACAGTTTCATTAACGGTTTCACAACTAGCACTCGAGCACAGCCATTCAGATAACCCTCCTCAGCTCTTGCTGTGCACTTCACATCCGCAGATCTCAAAGCAGGTGAGAACAGGGGATAAACTTTCATTTCACTTTAGGGATGGGGAGGCAAAAGTCTAGAGTAGCGACACGACCGCGCCACGATGACCCCTGAGGATCACTCACAGGGCCCTGCCCAAAACACAGGTCTCGGACTCCTGACCTAGCGTTCTTTCTCGCTGGGCAAGTCTGCTCCCTCTCTGGCACTGAAACAGCCAAGCCACAGCTGTTTGAAAACATGGCTTTGTCTACCTGAACTCATGACACAGGATCCACGTCACCGCTTAACCCGGGCAAAGCCAGCTACAGCAGGCTCGTACCGAGCTCCCCGTTGTCTCCAGGTCCCATCACAGCTTTTCTTAGAAAAGCTAACCCGCCTACAACAGTGCAGCCTCCCTAGCACGGGGACAGTGACAACAGTTTGTTAACGTGCTGGGCATCGATATCACTTATTCCCAGTAGAGAATATGCTATACCAGTAGAACTCATCTCTGTACCAGCACAACTGCACCCACAAGGAAAGATAGACCAGCACATTAAATAAATCAACTCTTCAATTCAAAATTTTATCAGTATAACATCATGTGCTGGCCAGACCTATTGCAAGACAGTACAAACAGCAACACTTAAAGAAACATCTTTTCCTCTACATCAAGAGGAATCCTGGATGCCACCAGACCAGAAGGTGACAAACAGCAAGTTATTTGCCAGGCTGCCTGTGAGGTTTCCCTCGGAAAGCCGAGCCCAGCTTTGTGAGGGACCTGGGACCACAGACTCATCTCAGGGACAAGCACTCGCTGCCATCGGTCGGATAAGCCAGGGCCCAGTTTAATTCATGAAGCATAATTCACTTTGCATAGGGAGATATAGGCTTTGTCCTCACTTCTGAAGAAGATGGGTATAGCCACGGCTTGGCTACTCTGAATTCGTCTCAAGCCAGTTCATAACACATCTGAGTGAAACCAGAGCTGTTTGCCAAGAGGGAAGAAAGGCTGAAGAGCCCTCCCACCACGGCACAACGCTCTTGAGAAACCTCACTGCAAAATTCCAGCTGGCAGACAAGTTTTTGGGAGGTCTGGTGCTCCAGAGACCTAGAACCAGGGAGCTACCTCCGGCCCCCAGCCGTGCAAGCAGTGAGCTGCCTCGGTGGGGACCTTGCAGCATTAACTACAGAGCCGAGGAGACACTGGCTGGTTAACGCACCGGAGGAGCCTGGCAGGGAGCGACTGGAGCTGGCTGAGCTTGGATACAGGAGGAATTGGGCTGGATGGTCTAGAGCAGGTACTACTCGGAGATCATACAGCAGGCGACCACGGCCCCACAAAGGCTGGGTGCTTCTGCACTAAACCCCTCACACTCCTAATACAACTCGGGTGGGCTGAAGCTGCCATGCATAGACTCTGCTCGGAGGCAGAAACGGGACTGGCCTCCCTACTCCCAGAGAGGCCAAATGGCAGGGGTGGGGCGGGGGGGGAATTGCAGGTGGCACTGCCAGGGCAGGGGAGGGCACTCGGGGAGGGAGAACCCAGCTTTTCAGGAGCTGCAGTCAGAACCAGCTGAACTGAAACGTAGGAAAGGGGCAGAGGGGCCAGCAGCTGCCCCTGCCGGGCTCGGCAAGCTGCGGATCTGCTGCGGGAGGAACTGCCTGCGGGCAGGGGAAGGGACAGCCTCGCTCAGCCCCTTCGCCCACAGCGGGGTAGAACAAGTCCAGCAGAGGCTGTTGCTGCATCTCAGCTCCAGAAGTCCCCTCGCTGCCCTGCGGTGGAAATGGCTCCCCTTGAATATGACTATTTCTACCACAACTCCTCCCTCCTCTCCCCCAACTCAGGCAGTGAAAGCCCCCAAACACCCCGAGTCCCCCTCATTTCCTAGATTTTGTGAAAGCCCCAACACCCTGTTCCCCCCTCCCCATTTTCAAGCTAACTAAAATATTTATATACAAACAACAAAAAAATTGTCATAACAGCAACAAACCAAACTTTGGCTTGGAAAAAAAAAATTAAAAACCAACAATAAAACCAGGAAAAAAAAAAAAAAAGGTGGCCAACAGGCTGGCAGTTTGGTGTCCCCTTTATCTAGCTATTTCTCCAGAGAATCAATAGCTTCAGGGTCTCCAGCTTAGCTAATGGCTTCCCCATTCTTCCCATCTGAGGTGCCTCCTCTCTGCTGCACACAAGAGAGGTTCCGTGTATTGCTGGGGAAGAGCAAAAAAAACGTGTGGTTGTGCGTGGCTGGGCCAGGACACCTCCCCGGGAGCTCTGCTTGTTGACATCGCTTAGTGTTAAACGCAGGAGGTTTCCTATTCTGGTATCAGCGGTGGATGGAGAAGCAGGTGTACGACAGGAGTTGGAGAGGCTCCACCAACAATCCCACACTCCAAGCAGCCCTTCTGGGGCAGTGAGCTCACCCCAGTACCAAATGAGGGAGTCAAGGCAGCCTTATAAAACCACAATTCTGCATTTCTCTACCATGTGGTTAGAGACCCTGCCTCTGACCACTGGGGTTACTGGGAGCACTCTAGGAGCCAGCAGCTGAGCTGGGAGGTCTGGAGAGCAGCAAGTCCCCATCACAGCACAGCTCATGCAGTCATCCAAAAATGCTGACTTTGAAACACAGCGAAATCACTGTACACGAGAGCAGAAGGGAGATGGTTCGGGGAGTCGTGGAGCCCTCCCCTAAATAGTCTCTCTGCTTCCAAATCTTCTCATATGTAGTGTCTATATGGACTCAGCAGACTAGGTGCACAACGTTCTATGAGAGGCTGGGCAAGACAGGCCCAGGGGCTCCAATGCAACTACGTAAGGGCCTGAAATAGCTTGTGGTGGGAAGTTCCTATGAATTCAGAGCTTGCACAAACTGTTTCTGCCTCCTCTTAAACTCCTGACAGAAACAAAAACTACTTCAGGATCACGTTTAGATATAAAAGACCCTCTTCCCCCACACAAACCCACACGCTTGCCCCTTGCCTCCAGCAGCTTATACATGACTTGTTTTTCCTCACTCATGTTATCTGAAACAGATTACTTGCAGAAGCGCCTAAGCAGCTCACGATGAACAGGAGGAGAGATCTTCCATGCTGGACCTCAGAGTGCCAGAGCAGGGCACTGGTGCATGGTTCTTCCGCTAGCTTTCTTCCTGTGCAAGGCTGCCTGTGCTTCACCTCCACAAGTTTAACCGCTTGCTGTCCACCACAGAGGTAACTCTGTGTGATGCTGCATTGCATCTGCAACTCCTCAAGGAAAGAGGGGGAGGAGAGGGACAGCAAGGGAGAAAGACCTTGGAAAGGAGGAAGGAAAACTAAGATAATTACAGCCACCAGCCATGGACAACAATCAGCTAGGATAAATTGTGTGTGTGGGGGGAGAAAAATCACCCTCATCAAAAACTCCTTTCAAAGTCTTGTCCCCTTTACAGAGTGGTAACAGCCAAAGTCTTTGGGCAGGTTGAGGAAATCTTCTCTTGCCAAGTCTAAAATCCTGACATTGCTGAAACTGTCCCAAACCTGTGCGCGTCACATGGTGATAAAAATGAGCAAAGTCTCTGCAATTCCCCCGTTTCCAAATGCAAATGACTAATTCCCACCAGCATTTAGGTCCTGGCCACAGCCAAAGAGTGCTTCCTTCTGCAGACCAGAAACACGGCAGGTGGAGACTTCTCCCTCACGTCCTCCTGTCTCACAGGCACCAAGCACCAGACCCAGGGAAGTAACTCTGTCTGCGTGTTCCTGATTAATTGCATGGTATCAGTTTCTAATAGCTTTCCTTATCACTAATCGCCTTTTCCGTGATTGGTAGGATAAGCTATGCACCAACATACAGACACGGAAATGCATTATTTTTACCACAGTTAAAAAAAAACCCAAAACAAAACAAAACAAAAAAAAATGCACAATCTTTGGAACAAAAGAATTAAAGGCAGAAATTTAAAGGAAAAAAAAAATACATATTCAAAGAACATAGTGAGGTATAAAAAAGTATTTTCTCTTTTTTTTTTTGTTTTTTGTTTTTTTTTTTTGTTTTTCCTCCTTGTCTTGCTATAGAGTTCCTCTACTAGTAAATATTGCAATAGCCAGGCCTCATGAACTGGGGGGGCTGTCCCACTTGCAGGGGGCTCACGTCACTTCAGTAGGGGGCAAATCGGCTGTAGCCACCTCGGTATAAACTCGCCTGTAGAAATTAAATGAGAGAAGAAGAGGTTGTTAGGAGGAGAACTGTGAAGAAATACTCGGGACAGCACCCGAATGCTCTCAGAAAGACTAACGGGCACGTCCTGGCACTGACCCACCACCATCAGCACCTCTAAGCAGCAAGACCACAGACACGGCTCAGGAGGACATGTTCATGGCCAGCCAGCTGGAGGTGAAGTTTGGCAAGTCTCGGTTGAAGGGAGTTCAGTACCAGAGAGGGGGACTCACGAGTCCTGATCTCCCAGCCAGTTGTCCAGGCTGTCTTTATAGCTAGCAAAGACCAGGACTTCTAGGATGCTCTTCACCTCGCATTAAGGTAAAGGTCTAAAATAGACATGATGACCTGGTATCCCAGAAGTACCTGCTTTTCCTTCATCAACCCTAAGAGGAATCCACGTGATGAGCTGAGGCTCAAACAGCGGTGCTACACCGCAGATTATCTACGTTTAGTTGTCTTTTTCTTTGAACTCATTTGTATTCCAGCCTTTGCAACAATACAGATACTGTGCTGGCTAGCAGATGGGCAAGCATGTGTTTTCAGCAAGCTGCTCCACTCCCCTCCGATGCCAGCTTAGCTCACTCCTGCCCTTGTGTAACTAACTACTGCTGGCAGGCAGGACACCGCATCCTTACGCTAGTGGAAGAAGGAACCAAGTGGAGCAGCTTTGCTGCAAGATGTCATGAGAACAACTTACTACTCCCTTGCTTCCTAGAACTGATTTCTCAACATGCAACACGAGCCTCTAGAGTTAATCAAAACAGCAAGAAAGGGCGTCCTGCATCTCTAACTACTGCTGACTTTTGCTCTATGTACCACCTTGATACAGTTCTACTGATTCACCACCAGTGTTCTGGCTCCTGGGATTTCTGGTCATAGTTCTGCCATCTCCTTTGCACTAGGTTATGTTAAAGACCAAGTAATAACCGGTTGTCTACAACCTGGCTCCTTTCCTAGTGCACAGACACAAACACGAATGCAGAACAACTGGGAACCCAGCACTGAAGCTAAAGACCTCCTGCCTCAACACAACAGTTCTTCTGGGTGAAGTTTCATTACCTGATACCCAGTGAACAGCTGTTCCCCATGCTGGAAATGAAAAACAGCTCAAGAAAGAAAATCCCACTTACCACAGCGCCAACTCCGTAGCTAGCGGCAGGGGCAAGGGCATGGTAAGGATCTGCTGTGTACACCCTGCCATAACTGAAGAGAGGGAGAAAAGATTAAAAACCAAAAACAAACAAAAAACCCAACAAACAAAACAAAGAGAAAAAAAAAATAGTCACTTCAGAGGGGCAGAGAAACAGCTGTCTGACCACGGGGAACGGAAGAAGCAGCATGCCCTTCTACACACATGTATGCACACATGCACACACACGCACGCAGGCAGCCCCTCGTCGAAGAGATCCTACGGGCATGCTGCCATGCATCCTGTGAGATGGGCGAGAGAATGGCCTGCAAGGAGGAATGTGGCAGAGGCCCTGAGCTCGACCTGTAGGAAAGAGGCCAGCACCTCTGAAATGACAGCTAGCGCATCCCTCGCCTCGCGTGATGCAATTTGAGAGGAGAGCGACTGCTGGCGCTAGCGCCGCCGGCACAGTAACAGCTGCTAAATGGAAAGCAGTGAGGGATTCCCCAGAATGAGAAGGGAGTATAAACTTTAACGGTCTCGCATGCGCTAGGATTAAAACACGGCCTCATTGCACAGGAGATGAAAATTCTTAAGGCAAGCACTCTGATGAGGATAATCCTTTGTATCTACACAGAGCTGCATGTTAAAGCATCCTAGAGAACTGTCTGAGCTGAGTAATTTTTACTTTATGGATGGGGAGTGAAATGCACTCATTGATTAAACAACCCGCCCAGAGTCACAGCGCAAGGAGCTGGCAAGGCAAGCCAGGTCTTTTGGCTCTGAGGCCGTAACCACGCTGCCTCCTTGGTGCAGAGAATCACAAAGATAGGGAAAAGGCCAGGATTTGTGCCAGCTCGCATACACCGAAGGGCAATATTGCCCGGGAGCAGAGACACAAACCGTGCATTCGGGTCTCTCATGTCAGGTTGTCCATGCATGTGTCTGCGCGTGCGAGTGCAAGTGAGACAAAGGAGGGAAGAAGTAGAAGTGCTGTAATGGATCCCTTGAATCCCTGAGCACAGCAAGCCAGCCCCCACGGACACCTCCCCCTTACATACCCATCGCTGTAAGCTGCTGCAGCGGCTGCAGCGGCTGTGGCTGCTGTTGCAGTAGCAGGCTGTGCATATCTGTAGGCTGCGTATCCACCCTGCAGGAGAGAAGAGAACTGACTTTACAGATACCTGTCCACCCACGCACAGCATAAAAAATAAAACTAAAACAACAAAAAAAAAAAGGTCACATACATCACAAGGAGAGGAAGTGTTTCAAACTGCATCAGCTCCCATGTCATGTCTATATCGCAAGCATCTCCCATTAACTCATGTATATTCGTTTCCTTAGAAGGACCAGGGAGACTCTTCCATTACCCCGTTTAGCAGAAGGAATAAACTAAAGCAAGCCTGAGCACGGTTATATCCCTGCAGGAAATTAACTCTGGCATGGAGAAACTGAAAACGAGAAGAGAGCTGAAATCTTGCGTGAAACATAATTTTTATGTTCCCTTCCTCTTACACTAGGGAAATCAGAGGGGTCCATTCAGAGAAATTTCTGTTTCCAGCCCCACCCCTCTTTTTTAAGCCAGAGAAACCCAAAAGGCTAGAATTTCATTTGGTCCAGATGTGTGAAAGTATCAATAGCCAGAGAAGTCCAAAAGCAATCAGGAAAAGACGCGTCAGAGAGACAGTCCCCAGTAGTCTCAGGGCTGGCAACCAGCAAACCGACATTGACACCAACCAGACTGTTCTCCCCTCCCTCCGTGTAAGAAGGAAACGGGTCAGGGGAAATTAGGCCAGAACAGTCTGTATTGCTGCTGTATTTCTGCCCATGCTACACACCTGTAGTAAAGGTCTTCAAAATGCTTACACTGGTAAGAGGTAGTTACTAAAAGTGTACTTACAGCTGGGTTGGCAAAATGTGAATCCTGACCCAGAGGAAGACCTGTGAGTCTCCTCCTGGAACTCCCACAAGGAGCTCTTGGGGCAGGAGAAGAGCTGGCTCAGACAGGCGGCTCTGCACACGCTGCAGTAATGAAGGATGGAGGCCATTCACCTTTCAGACCAGAGGCAAAGGCTGTTGCATGGCAGGCAGCAAAGAGGGCTCTGAAGCCCAGGTTAGATCTTCCTTTATTGTACGCGTCTGAACATCTTTGTTAACTTGGGTGGGGGGCAACGATAAATGAGCCATGGCTTTGATTTGCAAGAAACACAATGAGCCATAAATAACATCAGAAAATTCCAGATTGCTTCTGGCAATTGCTTCTGTCCCCAGTTGACATTTCAGAGTTTGAAGGACCAGAAGGCAGACCTACGCTCTTTACCTCCAGAATCAGCTCAACACACCTCTACCACTTCTTCAGCTCTTTTGTGTATATGTAACTAAGAACACAAGATCAGCTCTACTACAGGATTGCGTGTTTGCTCAGCAGTGCTCAGTTTTGGGCTAGGTAGCCTTTAAATTAGAAATAATTATTTTAATTTAATTTGGGTTGCTTTTGTGGGGGCTGCATTAGCCCCACGAAGGCTAATACGCTACCCAAAACACACGTGGGGACCCTTTCCTACTCTGGAGGAGAGGGACTCACAGCCTCTTCAATCTTCTAGTTAACAGAAGAAAGAGCAACACAACTCTACACCTCTGAAACATCACCAGACTGCCTGAAAGACATGTCATGTTACAGTTTTGTCCTTTTAATCTCACCTAGCTGTTTCAATCTCTGCATTTTTGATTGATGTTTTGGGGACGTTTAGCTCGGTTTTGGCACGCTGTCATTGCACCACCATTACTCTCACCTCCAAAACGTGACGGAGACAAGAGGAATGAGGTGCAGCCTTAATCCAAATCAAATCTTCATCAACCTCACCAAATTAAGACAAAACTTCATACCAATGCCATTGTGGTATTCCCTTAAGTTCACAAGCTTCCTGAACTACTGACGGGGTCTGTCGCTTGGGCACGGCGTACAAGGCATTTTCACCTGGTACCACCTTCCACAGAGCAGCTGGCTTTAGTGCACACCCAGATTCCCACTCTGCCCCACACTTGCCAGCCACATTTTAGATCAGAAGCCATTTCAAATGTGCCTGGCACATACTCTGAACATGACAGCAAGATGCAGTTTGAAACCAAAAAGGGTTATCATGTAATTCTCTTTGAACTCATGTCTCTTGTAAAGTAAAACAAAACCAAACCAAACCAAACCAAAAAAAGAAAAAAAAGAAGAAGAAAAGAAAAGAAGGGTTGGAATCAGGTGTGGGAGGGGGAATGGCGTAACATTTATTAATCAAAATTAAAAAACTAAGCATGCTGACATCTGGAGCTAGAACAACCAGCAAAGTCACCACGTTCAGACTCATATTGGCTAGTTCTATCCATCCCAGCATTCTCTTGGGACAGCAGTTCGCCCTAGGCTCTACCACAAGCTCAGTGAAGTACACAGCCTCAAGTACTAGAGCGTGCAGCCACAACAACCTGCTATTACGGAAACAGTCAGTCACCACTGGAGTTAACATTCCAACCTTAACGACTCCCGCAGCCTCCCGCCCTCGTCCCCCCCAAAATGGCTCCCACCCTAGCCCTGTCCCACACCACAATGTTAATAATTATAACAAGCAATAACCCATCTGTTATATCAGAGAAGGGAACAGAGACTCCACTGAGAGATTTAGAGCGGGATGTTAACATTTCTTCAGTCAACTGCACAACAAACAAAAAACAACAAAAAAAAAACAAAACAGGAGAAATAATTCATTGGAGAAATGAAGTTAAGAAATAGCTGACGTGTATTGCTTTTTAACCATGCACTGATGCAAAATTGAAGCTACTGTTAATTTGAAGAAAAAAAAAAATAAGAGTCACAGGATAGAGGTACACACGCACGGGCAGACCCGCTCCATTCAAAGCGGCCTGCAAATTCTACTTGTGTGTACTTCAAATAAAACCAAAAATGGGGATTATAATGGCCATGGTAGGTTCCTGTCATAGGAGCAATGAGTGTGGACAGCTGGGGGATTTCTGACACGGGGATGTATTTAGCATGACCAGCAGGTCCAAATACACCAAAACCAGGGTGAAGTAAAGAGGAAGAAAGTTGCAACTATTACTTGTTATTTTGCGAATGCCTTCACCAAGCTCCGGGACCAGTACGGAGCAAAGGAGACAGCGTGCAGGTTGCCTTACCCAGCTGATGCTCCTGTTCTCCGTAACCCAGGACCCACCTATAATTCCATCAATGCATCTAATGCCCTGCTCTGCTTGTCTAGTGCACCAGTTATTTTTCTCCTGCTATTCCTGTTCACAGACAATTTTAACTGGTAAGCAGAGCTCATCCATAACCTCAGCTACACGTGGTCCTACCACCCCTGGTGATTTCTGATGCCACTCCCTTCAGGTGCTCTAGTAAATACAAACTATTAACAGAGTAGAGCATCTTTGACAAACAGGAACAGTCGTGTTTCCCAATAAAAGAAACACTAATAATAATAGTAATATTTTTTTTAAAAGGCCGTTGCTAGCAGCACCACACTCCTTCAGTGCCACAGCAACAGAAGACACCACTGAGTGGCATAGTCCCTGAAACTCAGGGCAGCCATGCAAACTCCCATTCCACCTATTTAAGTGAAGTGATTCCAGAAGGACAGGGTTACCCATCCAGGTTCAGTTTTTAAAATCTTTAGCCTTCTCTCAAAAGAAATGAGTGTGGCTGAGCTTCTTGCGAAGATGTTAAGTCAAAGACATTGCTATCAAAGGGACAGTTCTAAGCACTGCCTCGACAAGGAAACTGGGGAACTAAGGAACAGGCTTACACATTTCTAGTGGGCAGTAAGTAGCAACCCAAAAGGACTATCTAAACCAAGACTGGTCCTTTCTGGTACAGTCTTTTGGATTGTCTGGGAAGCATGCGAGAGAGATGAACACAACACCAAATGTTCTTCATCTTAATTCAAGCTCTCTTTCTCTGGATAGCCTGCCAGTGTTGCTGGGGCTGTGCTAAACCCCTTTTCCCCCATGTGAACGTGTAGTGCTTGAGCCTATAGATCTCAGTTGTCAAACAACCGTATTTGCTCAGATGTTCACAAAAGCCCAAATTTACTCTTCTGTGATGTTACCATCCTTGGCTCATCAATGAAGCAAGACAATACTTTTTTTAAAATTCCTTCTTTAACGTTAGATGACAGCTTTTTCCATATTGTCATATATTCTCTGAATTAACACAAATGTGGTGAAACAACACATACAGGAAGCTGCAATCCCAACTAAAGCAGCGTTCCAATTACTGAGCATGTTAATGCAGATAAATGAGCACTTTAAGACTATACAGTTCAGCTCAAAGTCCATCTTCACTTCCACTCTTCAGGTCCACATTAGGCGATCAATCCAACGAGAACATGAGGAAATCCAAACATACAGCTTACTATGTCAGTGTATCCTGTGGTATAAGCCTCCCTTTTCTTTTTCCCTTGCTGCCTCAGACGGGCGCACAGTGTGTTGCTGGCCCTTTTTACTACAAAGAGCCTTTACGCCACTAAGACACAAAAGCGTTCCCATACCCCTGGAGAAAGGAGTAACTCATGGTACCAGTTAGACAGGTTTGACCACCTGCCAGGTTTAGGCAGTGAGCCCAATTTTAGGATCTTTTATTTGTCCTATCTCAAATGTGTCTTCTCCACCCCTGAACTGCCCTATAACAGAAGTTAAGAAGCAGAAAGGGCTAGAACCATCTCCAGTATTTCTGTATTAGAAGGGTGGCATATGTGCACCAGGAATGAGCATGAATGAATTAAAAGAGGTGACAGGACAACGGCGTCCATTGCAGCAGGTGCTTCTACATGGTAATGGGACAAGCATGACCTTGTTAACCCTTCCGTTGAATTGACATTATTATTTTGTTTTGAATGAAATGCTACTCGGTGTGAAATCTGGACACACGCCGCCCTGCTACAGCAGGGGCTTGGATCACACGTGAGTCTGCGCTGCCCTAAAAAAGCCTCTGTTCCCATCTCTAATGTGGTGCTGGAATGGTTAGTATAATTCAGTTTTTTCCACTGCAATCCACAATCTGATCGGTTGGCAGGTCACACTGGCACTCCTACCTGAGGTATTTTAGCGCTAATGATTGGTTCCTGTAAGACTATTCTATAACAGAACACAGGAAGAGCAGTTCAAAAAAACACAGCTGTGGAAAGAAACAATCATACAAACAGCCCGCGGCGGGGCTCACCAGCCTTTTCTTTCCAGTGGATGCAAGCACGCTTTTCACAGGCAGAAGCAGTCTTCGCATGGGTGGGTTGGTTTGGGTTTCCCCCCCCGCCGCCCAGATTGACCCCGTTGTAGAAGAAAGATAACCTTTCTTATGAGCCGAAATGAAGCCCTCTGCATCCTGGTGCAGGTTGTTTTATGAATTCAGGTGTCTTGCCAGAGTGGGACGCATCCAACAACAGATGGAATGCCTTCTTCACAGAAGAAATGGCTAGCAGGATGGTTGCCCCAGGAAAGAAAAAAGGAGTGAGGAAGAGGAGGAGGAGGAAAATGAGAAAACAGTGCATAACGCGTATGCAGAAAAAGCAGCCCAAACTTGGGACACTTCCCCTTCATCTTGCCTACCACTAACCACTCCCTGCCAGCTCAACTCCTTTCCACCCTTCCTTGACACAACGCTACAGACTCAGAAGACCTAAGAGAACCTCCATTTAACTTCCCCCCCCCGCAAGTCCTAACTGAAGTCTGCCATCCCTTCCACAATCTGGACAAGCCTTTCACAGCAACGGAAGCACTGGATGGAAGCACTGCAGTGAAAAGCACGACAACTCAGTGCGGCGCAGGGACGCTGTGATCATTCCACCTGTGCCAAGCCAATTATTCGGAAGGGCAACTTCCATGTTTGGATTATGGTAACTTTTTCCCATCAGAGGGCTCTGGGCAGCAATAACACAGGAAAAAAGCATTACCATCTACCTTCATGACTCCCCTCTTCTATCGCTTTGCTTTCTGATGGTGAAATCAGAGTCACCAACAAGAAAGTCGACAGAAGTCTACCTAACAGTTCTGACCTGACTTGGAGGCCTGGTTTTGCGCTAGGTGATGACACTGCAGTGCAGTACCAAGTGGTTACGGGGATTCTTCGTTACTGAAGTCTCTGTCCTTAAAAGACATCCAATAAGCCTCTCCACCCCACCTGCAATGGAAGCTCTGAAGAAGCTTTCTCAAAAGAAACAGAGAGTAACCCTGGCCAGTCTTCCTTTTCAACATGACAGCCTCTTACATGCTGTAGTCTGAGGGAAGATGCACTAAGCACTGCTCATTCGCTGGCTTGCTTGCTGTAGCGAAGTCAGGGTCTAGTGTTTTGGGAGCGAGGTGGGAAAACCCAGAACCCTCTGTAGTCCTTGACACAGTTTTATAAAGGAACACTTGACCAGGCAAATCAGTTTTTAAAGGACTGTGCACATGATAATATATGTAAGAATGAAGAAATGCACCCAAAACCTCTATGCTCAAAGAGCACGTCTTCAAACTGCTGTAACCACGCTGGGAAAAGCGCCTTTACAAGACTTTACCCTCCATATAAGTCAACAAAATCCAAGAGCTAATTCCATCCATCACCTTGAGTCTAACCCCAGGATCCTCTTTTAAATTGTCAGCAGGAGCACCTTCAAAGGAGCGGGGATGTGAAATCCATGCTGACAACTGTGCCACTACTCAATACAAAACTTCCCCAGCTCCAAAGAGCTATTACTTATAATACCACGAAAGGGAACTCTACCAGAGCTGGGCAGGCCACAAGTTGCGATGGCAGTAGCGGGCCTGAACATTTTGGCTTTGAAAGCCATATTCCTACCATAGCTGCTCTGCAACAGCTCTCAACTGCTTTTCTCACCGGCCAGTCAGAATCTCTCCATCCACAACCCACCTACGTATACACATATGCCCTGCAAATTTGCAATACAGACTGTCTGGGTATGACAAAGACAATGACAGGACAAAGTCTCCTGTGGTATCAGAGCTAATTCCCAGACAGGAGGAGGCTGCTGACTCTTCTAACCGAACATCTCCACATATTTGTACTTTACAATTCCCCAAAGAGGCGAGAGAATCTAGCCTATTTAGGTACCATTTCTACCAGCAAAATGAGATGTCAGTTTTCACTCTAGCATCTCGGTCTCCATTTTTAATCAGTCCCAGCGTCTTCCCCAAAGGGATAACCCCCACATCCCAGTGGCACAGGAACGTTTTTAAACATCCAGCTTGCTCAGTTTAGTGTGGGCTGCACAAATCAAACCTGAAAGGGCCCCAAGAGGGGAGAGAAAGGGGAGGGCGGAGGGGGAGAAGGAAAGGGAAGGTCTGAGGCTAAACCAGTCCTGTTATTTTTATATCCAAATTATGTAAACGAGAGAAGTGTTGAGAGAAATTTTAATTTGCTAATCATCTCTCAGGTTGATTAGTAGCAGTGTGCATGTGGGGGACAGGACACCCAGTAAACTGACCCTGGCAATGATCAGGAAACCCAAAGGCTTAGGTCTTGCACCCAGGGGCAAGCGCAGTGACAGAGAAGCATGCTTGCATTCCTAAATATATAAATATATATATCCACAAGGAAGAAGAAAATTAAAAGTAAATGATATTTTAAAAAAACCAAACCAAACCAAACAAACAAACCAAAAGAAAAGAAAAAAAAAAAAAAAGGCTGGCTTGTCAGGGGTTGGGGACGAGAAGGCTCCGGTGTGTGTACTTACATAGAGGTCAGCACCGTAAAATCCGTCCTGGTAAACCACACTGCAGAAAATCCACACAAAAACAAAAAAAAAACAAAAAACAAAAAACAAAAGAACAGAAAACACATTCCGGTTATTGAGGACGGCAGCATGCACATGCGTTTTACACAGGCAGGTGATGTATGAATCCACAACCTGGGCTTTTGGCAGGAGCAAATCAGCGAGAGAATGTGTGTGCGCACGCACGCTAGACGGCTCCAAGTCATCTTCCACGGCATGCAAAGGGGGAAGGGGTGGGCAGAGGGGGAGACAGTATGCAAAGGAGAGAGGGAGGGGAACCACCATCTTGTACAATAAAAACAGACTCAAAAAGATCTGAACGTCCTGAAGAAGAGAAACAATGGTTTAGAAACCTCCACTCTGGTTATTCTCCTGTAATGATTTTAGTTACCCCCTAAACACATGGAAACATTGGCTTCATGAATTGGGCTTGTGAAATTGAGGAGCCCCTCAGAAGGCTTCCCACAAGGGCTGGAGTCACCTATGTCAGAAGCACGTTTCAGAGTTGTGTATGATTAAGTATTTCGAGCTTCAGAGGGCTGCATGACTTTGTTTCTGACATCCATACATCACCTGCTTTTACCCTGCACATTAGACATGCGATAAGATTTGGCTGATCACACAAGCATGCAAAGTATTATTATTCAGCATCTTAAAGAACCGATGCAACACCTCAGGAAAACAAGTCAATCAATTCTGATCAAAGTAAACACAGAGAAATGTAATTAAAAAGAAAAAACCAAAAATACCCACAATGCATTGCTTTCACAAGCAGAGATAATGAGCTAAAAAGGTTAGGTGACTGGTCCAAGGTCCGAGAATTGAAAGGTGCAGTGGGAGTCCCTGGTAGTAACGACCTATTCCGTAGCAGAGAGGAGCAACTGGAAGGGTTTCCATGGGATGGTGCTTTTTCTGCTTTAAGCCATAGCTTTCTTTCTCTCAGAACTTCAAGCAGGGAAACTGTTAAACCAGAGCCTGGGGTTCCCAAAGAGCCACTCTTACCAGAGCATTTGCTAGGGTAAGATTATGCAGCTCGCTTTGGGGACAGGGGTTCGGGGAAGGATGAGGAAGGAAGAGAGGGGATGCCCCCCACCCATTTGAGTTTAGCGTGCGCTTCACACTGAGGAATTTCCTCCTGCTTTGTCCTCTGAATAGCTCCGCACAAACTCGCTCGAGGCTTTAAAAAGCATTAGCCCCACCATCTGTGATGTTCATGGATCTGATGTGCACGACCTACCAGTAGCATAAGGAAAAAGAAGGTATGGAACACTAGCTTTTCTTTTGATTATCATTTCTTACTCATCAGATGGAATGTGAAATGCTGACAAGAGCCTGCCACCCTCAGACACCCAGCTATTGTAAGGCACGCACACACAGAAAAAGCCCAGCAGATCTTGCCAAAATTCTGCATGCTATTACTAAAAAATAAAATAAAATTAAAAAAAAACCAAAACTGTTGCAGTGTTAGCTACTGCTTGAATAATTTAGTCTTGCTGTCTTCCCCAGGAAAAGTACACTCCATTCCCAATGGACAAAGTTACTATGGTCTCCAAGAGCGCTGGGAGCAGATAAGAAGATAGAGACCCTTGTTAGAGGAAGAGGGAAGCCACTTCAGCAGGGAGAAGCAGGCCATAAGATCATGTTTGTTGAAGCTAAATTTTTACAACCACATAACAAAGAATTTGGCTCCTGGGGCGGTGACTTACATTGCTGGGTTCTCTATCTAGGACCAGGAGTGTTTTAGCAGTGATACTCCACCTGCTCCTGCAGGAAAGGCAAACGCATGACAGAGGAAGTGACTGTTGGTTTATGAACAGGTTAGCAGTTTTAACAGTTATTCCGAACACAATCAGTTGGATGAATATAAGCATTACCACATTGGATCAGGCCACTATTCCTGCAATTTATAATCCTGTCAGCCAGAGATGCTAGCATCAGCTCTCCAGAGAAAACTGCAAGGAACACTGATAACAGGTAAGAGTAAGACTTCTTGAGTCCAAACAAGCAAGCACACGTGCATCCTCTGTCTCTCCTTCAGTTAGGACTCGACTGACAACGACTGCCAGAGCTGAAATTCTGCAAGGTTTATTTACATGCTAGAATATCCATATCTGTAATTCTTAATGCTAGCAAAAACTGAGATAATTCCTTCATTTGAGAACCACAGAGACCATTCTGGTTACGTAGACTGACCAGAAGCATAAAGCAGCCCAGCAGCCCATCAAATCTCAGTGGCATCTGCAAAAACCCCACTAGCTGAGCTAAATCATATCCACAAGAAAAAGAAATATGTCGGTTTTGTAAAGCAGTCATCATATCATTTAGGTGTACCAACTGTTGACTGTGTTGTAAGAGGAATGCAAAAACCACCGCAAATCCCCCAAAGCTCCCTACTGCCTTATATCTAGTCTGACTTTTATCTACTTTTGGCTTCGAGTCAGTGAATCCTCTATATATTTACACTCCTAGACTAAATTATTCTTTACTATGGCGAGCCTACTCTTCATAAAGGTACTTAATGACCATGAACAAGTCAACGCCTAACCTATAGTTTGAGCAATAGAATTGATCAAGCTTATTTAGTTTTGAGAGTTTTACAGTAGGCAAGTCTTTTCAGACTTTACAGCTTTTGGTCTGAAGTGTCAGCATTCTTGTTTAGAAAGCACGGCAGCTACAAATCAGGGCAATATTCCAGTACAGCTTTTACTCATGCTATATATCAGAGGTTATAAAGTCTCCTTACATCTACTGAATGCTGCCTCGGTTATAAATTGAAGGTTGCATTTGTATTCGGAGGTCAGGCTCAGGTTACTATCTAACATCCTCTCCAATTGTCTGAAAAATTGCTTTCTAAAGCATGACTAGCCTTCCCTGGAAAAACATCCATGTCCATATGTAAGTATGTACATTCAACATACTCATAGGTAAATTTTAGTTTGAGTTCTTGAAATAAATGTTAAAACTACTAAGAACAATATGATTTCTTGCACCTTCCTCTGGAGTTATCTAGCACTAGACACGGGCAAAACTTACTCTAACCTAAACGGTGTTCAGGTCTGATCCAGTATGGCAATTCCAATGAGCTTTTATTAATCTACATTCTGTACTTTTTGAATTCTGCTAAGCTCTCAAATGCAGTGATACCATTAAGTTTTGTAACTTAAAACACCACTGAGGTTTGTGAAAACAAATTCCTTCTACCAGGTGTGAGTTAACCTGCAGCTTACTTTACTGTCGGCTTCCACATTATTCACTAGGTCTTGATCGCTCATGTATTGCTGACTGATCTTATCTCTCCCCTGGCTAGGAAGAAAGCAATGGATGCAGGGTAAGGTGTCAGGAATACGTGCCTGCCCCTGACTCCACAGAGGTCAACAGTGCCCATCCTACAGGTTCCTGCAACATGGAACTGAATAGCACATTTTGTACTATTCCACAAGGAATCAGACTCCCTCTACAAAACATACTGTAGAGATTCAGACCGTGATGACAATAAACACCAGAATTAGTTGATTACCTCCCAGTGCTTGGGACTAGGGACAGTTCTGGGCCATTTGTGAACCTGCCTTGTTTACTGCTGCCCTGCAAACATTTACTGGATAGACAGCAGGGTTAGCCAAACTCAACGTAACGTAAGTAAACACAGTCATGAGACAGTATTTGGAAGGGATGATCACTGGAGCCTGGCCCATATTACAAATGGAAATAAACCTTCTATACGGGACTCGGGCTGGATTTATATCAAAGACAAGCCTAGAGTCCCTCCCCATGCGCCACTCGTGACAGCCTCTTGCTAGGAATGCTCCAGCTGTTACTCCCAGGGATGAAGAGCACATCCCCCCTCCCTGGTACAAGTATTTCATATTCTGCTAGACGGCAGCACTTAGCTCAGCTTCGCTTCTCTGTTTCACTGTGGAGTACTTCCTAATAAAGCTGGACTGGGTCATTTTTAAAGCAACAGACAAACAAGTTGCAGGTCAGAGGCTATGGTTAGAGGATATAGAATATGAGCTAAGAGTGGTGGCAAAAAGAGGTGGAGCTGAAAATCCAGAAGAAACACTGTTCAGAAGGCCAGTGTGTTCAGGCGAGAGGTTTAAATTGAAGTCTTCTGCTGAATTAAATACAAACATTGCCAGACTTGCCAGAGAGCAAAGCTAGACAGATACGTGACCACTGCAGCTTGGTTCCTTGAGCTCTACTTTAAATAACAGACTGGACTCTAGAAAGAAAGGGTCACAATAGCTCTCACCACTCAAATCTGCTACAGAAGGTACTGCAAGCTTATCCAGCATATATTAGGCCAGCTCCTTGTACTGATGTGTGTGGCTTCCACCTCCCTTTTTAATAAAAGATTTATAATTTATTTTCTTCCCTGTTGGGGATTGTCTAAAGGAAAAAAGGGTCAGTCCACCTCTCTGCGTTGGAGGATTCATTCCTACCCTTATCCTGTCTGAAAACATTGCCTGCAAAATATGGCAAGTAAAATTCCAGAGACAGGCAATATGAATAAAGCATCCTCAAAATCAGAAACAAACAAACAAACAAAAAAAGACAGCTTGGAAGGGATTTGCTGATTTATCTGTCGTTCCATCACATTTAAACAAACAAAAACCCAAAACAAGACTCACATACAAACCTAGTTCCCTGTACTTTTAAACAGCAGAATACTCTCTTGTAACAGCATCTATTCCACTGCATGACTAGTGAAAAGTCAGAGGGCAAGGAATGCTAAGGCCACACATTCACCATTGGTTCATACAACAGTTAGAAGAACGTTGCACTTTCGTTCCATTTCCAAAACACTCCCAGCTTTAAATTAATGGACTTGATTAATCTTTGTTTTAAACCTTTTTAAAACCGTCTCCAACAAAGAAAGCAAATCCATTGTGGGTAACTGGCTCTTCTGTGTCCTACTGCCAGATGGTGAGGCATGAAGGTAGTGGATAACATTCCTCATTCTTGGATATGAAAACGTACATGGAGTGCAAAGAGCAGAACCTTTTCAGAATTTTTAGACCTTCTCTCTTGTATCCTTCTCAGCAGGACTATAACATATTGGGTCAATGGATGATGAATACCACGTAGACAAATTGAGAAAATTATGAGAAGGAATTAATCAGCGCTTTAAGCTCTTGCAAGTACTGAAAATTGTTTCAGTCAAGAACACAGAAAAATTTAGATTTGCCCCCACTGGATGCCACTGTGTGCAGAATGCTCTGGCACTAGCAATACCCTGACTCTCACCATCCAGACAATTTTAATTATTTTTTGGTTAACCAATTAGCTATTGGACACGGTTGTGCAGAGCACTCTGCTCTTATGACCAGTGCTTACCCTGGGTAGGCAGGGATGGCTGTGGGAGGTACCGCCCGGACTGCCCCATACACTGTCCTTCCTCGGCCCCTCAGATGGGCTCCCCGAAACGCGGCTGCTGTGGTGGCTGCAGTTGGATAGGGGAAGCCTGGAACTGTAAAGACAGACAAGGTAGAGGGTGAAAAGGATCCGAGCTCCTGCCCAGAGAACAACCGTCTGCTTCAAACAAAGTGACACAATAGCTCCACAGCGGTGGGACATTTCGCATCAGTCCTGCAGAGGGGCATGCTTATAACCCAGCAAGCATCCGATACATACTTCCTGCTACACCATGGCCTTTGGGGGAAGAGGAGTTGCAGAGAGGTTTGGCATGCAAGAGGTTAATGCTTTGGCATGCCTCGCCCACCACAAACAGGGTAAAAATCCCCCCGCCTTTTGACACCGCCATGCAGTCTTGGTTAGAGTCTGAGAAGCGCAGAGAGTTACTATCAATATAGCAGGCGGCTCTTCCAAAACTGCAGAGGCTCTTTAAAATAATTTGTCAAGAGGCCCTTAAAGTCAATCAACTTACATCAGTCTCTTCCCTCCTTTCCCCTCCCACTCTTTGCCACCCAATCCTCTGTATGTTCATTTTAAAGCCTGAAAGACAAGATAGCCCATATAATAGCAGCAGAAATTTCCCATAAAGTGCCAGTTTACTGAGAGCCCACCTTCATTTAATGAGCGTGACCAATAACTGGCTCCATATATAGTGGGGCCTGCTTTATTACGCTTTACACTGGAGTAAACTGGCTCATGATGAAATGATGTAAAACCTCAGAGGCATCTGCAAACATGTAATAAACAGATACCGAGAGGGAAGGAGTCCCAGGGCACAAACCCAACCCAACGAGCATCCAGGTGCATGCCACTAGGGGCCCTGCAGACTCACAGTTTAGCAGCTTGTATAATATGTACTTTAGGGATTTGTCTGTTTGGTTTATTTGATTTCAAAAGGGGGAGGGGGGCAAGGGAACGGCCTATTCCTCACACACACCCTCCCCTTGTTCTGCAGCCTCCTCATCACTCAGAAAGGCCCATTCACCAGTACTGAAACACACTGCAGATGAACAAGTTACAGCAAATGCACAGTATACTTTGGCTCAAGGTAAACTCATTCCCAGCGAGACCCATCCTTTCAAGTATATATTATACAGACTGGAGAGAAGAAGGGTAACAGGTCATTGTTAACTCAAGCACAGTAACAACACAGGGGCCAACGGGGGCTACTTACTGATTAAAGGAATGTAAGTGTTAATACCCCCCCTTCCTGACAGGGGCACTGCGGCGTCATTGCCCAGCGAGACATCTGCTTGAAAGCTGGACGCTAATTTAATTTTAAAAAGAAAAAAAGAAAAAAAACACACAAAAAAAAACAAACGTAAAGAGGTTATAAAGAAACAGCAGATTGTGAACATAAACAAACACCACTGCAGTTAAATGGCAGAAGTGGAAGTGTCTACTTAAGCTCTACCTGCATATAACTCAGGGCCGTACACCGCTCCAACCACAGGACTCAACTTCCAACCTGAAACAACAAAGACTGCAGTGAATGCCAAAATCTACACCAAGAGAAGGAGCGGGCAGCGTGGGTATGGGGAAACAGTCTCTTGCGTGCGCCCCAGCTTCACATGCACAGCTCTTTCCAATTTCTGCTTCGCCTCAATCCCCCTTGGTGTAGATGGAGGCCAACTGCCTTTTTCTAATGTCAAGTTCTAGGTACAGGTCGCTGTATCGGAGGAACAGCAAAACATCAGCTGATCCGCAGCACGGCAGAGGCTCCGCTGAGGGAATGCCAACTACCTTATATGCATATTCGCCACAAGCACCTTGCGACCCTGCGTTCCCTGCATGAACCTTGCTGCCAGCTCCTCCAGCTGCTCCCTGCTTTCACTGGGAACGCTGCGGATCCAAAACCTCTCTAAAGCCACCAGCCCAGACTGTCATCCCGGGCAAGTCAATTTACGGCCTCTAATTCTCAAAACACCCTTCTGTCTTATTTGCTAGAGATCTGCTAAAAAGCAACAGTGTCTGAATTTCATCACTAACTGAATTACACAACTATAATGCAGAACAGCAATTCAGTCTATTCAGCTCACATTTTCTCCTCAATGTTATTTTAGTATTTCCTGCCTTCTTTATGCTGCTTTTCAGGTGAAAGCCTTCCCAGAGAACTGATTTTAACATCATCTGGATAATTGGCAAGAACTGCAAATCATCAACATAAAACCTACAGGAGAATAGCGCTTAAACAAGTCATCACTGGGGTATGAGGAGGAACACATCTCCAGTCAGAGCTAGAAACCTACCTGTCCTCCCCTCTCACCTACCTATCAGAGGAGAGAAGGGGTGTCAAGCTAACAACATGATCTGGGCTGGCTTCCACAAAGCATTCCTTTCAGGAAAGATCTCAGCTGTTCAGCTAGCAATCACACAGGTATTTTTATTTAAATAAATCCATGTCCTTCCTCTGTCTTGGAGCCCTGATGCACTTACTGCACTTTAACACCTCTAACCAGCCTAGAAACCCTATGAACAACTTTGTGAACTGCAGCCCATCAACACCACCCCTTCATCTGCTGGTAGAGTATCAGTGAGAGGTGCAATGCACGTTGCCTCCGCAAGACTGGGCACGCTGCTGCTGCGCTGCCCACCTTGATGGCAAAATACTCAAGTGAGTGGTGGCAATGCGAGGACTGGGATCAACCCTCAAATTTACTAACAGTCACACGACCACTTGTCAACATGCCTTAAGCCTGGCCTAATACTAAACACCTTTGCATAGCTCTAAAGTTGGCTTTAAACTGCTGGCTGCAAAAGCAGAATATTCTTGCCCATTACCAGGGTTTCACAAGTCAATCAAGTTTTGTTACCAAACAGTCACACGCATTTTCTTCCCTTTGTTTTCAGGACAACATAACATGTCTGCGTTGCCTTTTGCTACAAAATCTCCTGGCTCCTTTCAGACACTGAGACTCAGAATCCCAGCCTTTCTGCCTGGCCCTGTTTCCCCAGTTCTGTAACCAAAATAGTATTTATTTGCCAAGAGCCACGCAACAGGTCACTAGCAGAGCCACAAATAAAATCCTTATCTTCTGACTTCGAGTCTTACGTTGTAATCAAAACGGATTCTCACACATTAGCCACTACCTATATGCAGCTTCTTGCCTTGCTGAAGCTGTTAGGGAACATTTTTAGACCAAAAAGAACTCTTCTGCCTGTTTCAGGACAAAGACTCAGATTCAAAATCTCTATCAAAGCAGCATTCAGTTCTGTTGGGGGAAGAATGACTTTTTATGCTATATATGCCTGTGCAATAAAATTACTGCACAGACAGAACCACCAAGATATCCCAATGAAACAGGATTCTTCATTACCCAAACAACTTGGGTCTTTCTCAATTCAGGTTCACTAGAAAAAGGCTGAACACAGGCACAGCCTGTAACAAAAAGTGAGCAAACAAGCAGCACAATGCCTCTGCTCTCCTGGCTGCTTGGGGACATGTACTTTTACAAGTTAGAACCTAACCATGTATCTTAAGTTATGCTTCTACATTCATATTTAGGGATCTACGTGGCGGCAATGAGACTCAGGAGTACTGCACATCCTGCTGTACAGCATCAGCTTGCAGTAGTAGCAGGCAACTCATCAGTCCTTGGCTTCTTTACCCAGCTTGGCCACATCGGGTATGTCACTACTCCTCTCTGTCCCCACTTCTCCATCTGTAAAATGGTAATCCTCCATAAACGCCTAAGCGTTATGCTGAAGAATAATGCTATAAATTAGGGTTTGTATGTTTTGGTCTGTTTCTTTTGGGTTGGTTTTTTTTTTTTTTTTGGTCCTGAGGAGAAGTGATGATTCTTCCCTTTTGTCTTTCTTCAAACCTTTCAGCTCATCATTAGTACAGTCTCTCTTACCATTTGCGTAAGGTGTGACCATCTTCTTATTGGTCATCACTCGCGCAGTGGCGTTGTTAACCTAAAAGTAAGAAAGGGGAGGGGGAGGAGAGGGAAGGAAGCAATAGGACATTAGGGAAAATGGTGGAAAACTCTGAGATACCACACACACACACACACATACATACTATACTTCTCTGAGCAAAAAAAATTAAATAATTTTACAAGAATGCAATCTTTAAATTACTTTTAACAGTTGCCATTTAATTATAAAAGTTACAGCTAAACATGGCACTTTAAAATTATGCATTAAACAAAAGGCCAACGAGAGTAAAGTGCAGACTCTCCACCGCCCTGTCACCCCTCGGTGCGTGCTTATTTTCAGCTCTTTGATCAAATGGACAAAACTTTGGAGGTTTTGTCCAGGTTCCGGTCGAAAGGCAGCGATAATTTCTGCAGCCCAGGGCAGGGGAACTGAACCAGGTGATGCGCCAGGTGACTTGAGCTCACCATTGGGATTAGGATCTGGCAGGTCACTGGCAGGTCACTGGCAGACATACTTTTTAGATAGAAAAAGGTAGCCTGGAGTCCATCAGCTTTAGATTTGAACTCCCAAGGCTTGAGGAGATTTCTGGAATGCCACCAAGCGTTTCAACAATCTACGTTCACTGGTTTCCTTCCCATCATTTCCAAATCTGTTTCCAGATTATTTTTTCCTTGTCACAAATCTCATGGAGCAAAAAGAAGACATACATAGAAATAGACCTTTTTTTTTTTTGGTTTTATTGTGCCCTCCACCCTCTTTACAGAGCTCTGCATAGTTCCAAGCGGTTTGATTGCTCAAGCAAGTGGGGTGTTACCACAGAGATGGTGCTGATAAAGAAAAGATGGACCAGTTTGGAAGCCAAGTTACTGCAGCCCTGTGTCAGACAGCCTCAAAGTTCTTGCAAGGAGGGTGAAGTCTTTATACATCATCAGTAATTTATCAAAACCCATGCCAAATGGGAATTGAGGCCAGGGTGAAGAAGAAAAAAGCATGGATATAAAAATAAAAGCTGCCTCGGGCCCTTAAGACTTATGGATGGTGAGCGTACACAGGGTGGGGAGTCTGGAGCTACATTTTACTCTCATTTCGGCCCCAAAACAATAGAAACATTACACATTTAAAAAGAAAGAATGGGAAACAACAATGATGAGACTGAGAGCATGCAGTTAAACACACACAGATAAAAGAAAGAAAGAAAAAAAAACACCCCACAATTGATTCAGAGGGTGGGGAGGGGAGGAGGGAGGAGATAGGGTCTCACAGACAATCATTAAGATGGAGCGAGTGCCTGAAATCAGCTGCTACAGCAAAGTGCAACACAAGCACTTAAAGGAAAAATTGCCAGAACCGATCAGAAACCACTAGTCAGCAAAGAGACCAACAGCTGCATTTAACCGAGTAAAGAAATAAATGGGGGGGTGG